CTGGCTCCGGAACCTTCATCCGTCCAGTCCCGGTGACTGAGCACTGACTGCCCAGGACAGTGGTGGGCACCGGGTGGGGAGAAGGCATTGAACGACACTGGGCTTCGTGACAGTTTTGAAGAGTGTCTGAAGGAGGAGCACAGGGCCTTGGAAGGACAGGACAGCATTTTAGAAGTTACAAACAATCCTAGCCAGCGTGGCTTAGTGGTTGAGTGTCGACCTTTAAACCAGGAGGTCACGGTTCCCTTCCCAGTCAGGGCATATGCCCAGGTTGTGGGCTCGTCCTCCAGTGTGAGGAGGCAGCTGATGAATGATTCTCTCTCTCATCACTAATATTTTTATCTCTCTCTCCTCTCTCTGAAATCAATAAGATACACACACACACACACACACACACACACACACACACACACACAGAGCCTGGCCAGCCTGGCTCAGTGGTTGAGCATTGACCTATGAACCAGACCATGGTTCAATTCCCAGTAGGGCACATGCCCAGGTTGTGGACTCGATCCCCAGTGTGGGGCGTGCAGGAGGCAACTGATCAATGATTCTCTCTCATCATTGATGTTTCTATCTCCCTCTCCCTTCCTCTCTGAAATCAATAAGATAATATATTTAAATATTATTTAAATATTTTTTAAATATTTTAAAAAGATATGTGATATATATATATATATATATATATATATATATATATATATATATATCTCACATATCTTTTTAAAAGGTAACAAGATCCCTAGAAGGCGAAGGCTGTGACAGAGCACAGAGGGGAAGGGGTGTGAAATCTGCTTGGGGTTGGAAGCTATCCCAGAGCTTGTGACATTTGAGCTGGAAACTCGTGGGATGGAGTAAGATGTAATCATCTGGAAAAGGGAGGGAAGACAATTCCAGGCCGAAAACAAAAGCAGCCACAGGAGTGGGTGGGATGTGTGGAGACAGGAATGCGTGGGGCGTGCTGAGCGCCAGAGTGGGAGGGCGGGAGATGGGGCTGGATTGTAAAAGGCTTGGCTGGAACGGAGGGGAGCCACATCCCAGTGGGCTGAGCTCTCAACCCCAACTCTTGGAGTTCCCTGCCTCTGACAGGAGGGGTGGAGCAGTGAGCAGAGCCCTGGTCTAGGAGTCAGAGGCTCTGTCCTACATCATGCCCTTTCTCCTGGCCTCAGTGTCCTCTATAAGATGGGAATAGAATAATAATAATAATGCCAACTACCATTCACTCTTCTGTGTTACAAATATTGTTGCACCAAATCCTTACAGCAGATCTTAGAGGCAGTTTTATTATTATTCCCATTTCAGATGAGAAAACCGAGGCCCAGAAAGTAACGTTAAGCACCCTGCCCTGGCGACATGCACATCTAGTAAGCGGCTGAGGTGGGGTTTGAACCCAGACATTCTGGCTGCAGGGTCCAAGTTCTTTACCACATTCCTAGCTGTGGTCATCTGCTTATCTCGGCTGCTTGGTCACTCAGCAAATATGTCTGGAATATCAACTATGCTCCAGCCACCGTGCTGGGTGCTGAGGAGACAGCAGCGAACAGGACAGATAAGGTCCCTGTCACGGAGTGACATTCTGATGGAGGAGACAGTCAATGGACAAGTAGACATAAAGTGAGGTCATTTTGGACTGTGTATGTATGATTGGTAAATAAAACTGTAAGAGGCTGGTTTTAATGATAAGAACACAGGACTCACTGTGTGCCAAGAATTGTTAGGAATTCCTGACATATTGCCCTAGCTGGTTTGGTTCAGTGGATAGAGCATTGGCCTGTGGACTGAAGTATTTCAGGCATATGCCCTGGGTTGCAGGTTTGATCCCCATTAGGGGGTGTGCAGGAGCCAGCCAATCAATGATTCTCTCTCATCATTGATGTTTCTCTACCTCTCCCTTCTCTCAAGTCAATAAAAATATATTTTTAAAAAATGGGCATGTGCCCTACTGGGAATATATTTGTTAACTCCTTGACATTTTGTTAACTCCTTTTATTCTTTTTTAAAAAGCTGATATTTTGTTTTTGTGTGTGTTTTAAAATTTTATTTTAGAGAGGGAGGGAGAGGGAGAGAGAGAAAGAGAGAAAAAGAAGAGAAGAGAAGAGAAGAGAAGAGAGAGAGAGAGAGAGAGAAATAGAGAGAGAGAAATATTGATCATATCCACAAACCTAGGTATATGCCCTGACCAGGAATTGAACTCCTGACTTTTCAGTGCACAGATGATGCTCCAACCAATTGAGCCACAGAGCTAATTCTTTTCATTCTTTTTAAAAAATATTTTTATTGATTTTAGAGAGTACTACAGAGAGAGAGAGAGAGAGAGAGAGAGAGAGAGAGAGAGAAAGAGAGAGAGAAACATCAATTACTAGTATGAAAGAGAACCATTAATTGGCTGCCTCCTGCACGACCTCTCCTGGGGATTGAGCCCACAAGCTTATTATATGCCTTTGACTGGTATCGAATCTGGGACCTTTCGGTTCGCCAAACTCTGTCCACTGAGCTGAACCAGGCTAGGGGCTCATTTCGTTCTTATGTCAACCCTGAGGGGTGGGCACTCTTATTTGCCCAGGGTCACACAAGGGGAAGGCTTGGCTGGCAGAGGGCACTGCAAGTGCAAAGGACACAGAGGGTGTGAAGTTGTTTGAGATGTAAGATTGTTTGAGGTTGTTTTATGGTTTTAAACCATAAAAGTTGTAGGAGAAAACAAGCAGCAAAATCTCAGACCTTATAGTAATATGTTTTCTGATATATGTCCTTGGGCAGGGGAAACAAAAGAAAAAATAAACACCCTGGCTGGTGTGGCCCAGTTGGCTGAGTGTCATCCCACACACCAAGTGGTCCCCGTTCTTCCCGGTCAGAGCACATGCTCCGGTTGCAGGCTTGATCTCTAGGTGGGGGGCATGTAGGAGGCGGCTGATCAATGATTCTCTCTCATCATTGATGTTTCTCTCTCACTCCCTCTCCCTTCCTCTATGAAATCAATAAAAATATATTTTTTAAAAAGTTTAAAAATTAAGTATGTATGAAAAGTTTTAATTTCACAGAAAAGTTTTCTATAATAGTGCTATAATTTTAAATGTATACTGAGTAAGTCTAGTAAATGCGTGCATTCACCGGTCACTGCGAGTAAACAAGGCTGGGGCGTGGCTTAGTGCTTGTTGGAACATTGCTGGCATGAGTTAAAACTGCTTCAGAAACTCATGCCAGGGACAACAGAACCAATTCCTTCACGCAATTCAGTGTGATCACATGTTTCTTTTTCTGTTCTTTTTTTTTTTAAGAAAAATATTTTTATTTTATTCTTTTTTTTATTGATTTTTTTTTTTACAGAGAGGAAGGGAGAGGAATAGAGAGCTAGAAACGTCGTTGAGAGAGAAACATCGACCAGCTGCCTCCTGCACACCCCCTACCGGGGATGTGCCCGCAACCAAGGTACATGCCCTTGACCGGAATCGAACCTGGGACCTTTCAGTCCGCAGACCGACGCTCTACCACTGAGCCAAACCGGTTTCGGCTATTTTATTCTTAAATAACCCCACAGTAATTCTTCAAGGTGAACTTTAAAAATTTTTTATTTTATTTTATTGTTTAAAGTATTACGAATAGTAGCACCTATGCCTTCTTTTTTCTCCCCATTGACCTTCCCCTGGCCTCTCTTACTCCCTAGCACATGCCCTCCCCCCCATCTTGTGTCCATTGGTTATGCTTATATGCATGCATACAAGTCCTTCAGTTGATCTCTTACCTTCCCCAAGTGGATCACATGTTAATCATTTGCTGAACATTGTTTATGAGTGGTAACTCTTGGATTTAAATATATATGTAAACTATAGTTAGAGATATGTAATATTTATTTATGTCTGTGAAATTACTATTTCCCCCCCAACATATGGCCTATTCACTAAAATTTATTAAAAATAGTGCTTGAGGGACGAGGTGGCCGAGTGGTTAAGGCGATGGACTGCTAAAAATAGTGCTTGAGCCTGGCCAGTGTGGCTCAGTGGTTGAGTGTTGACTTATCAACTAGGAGATTACACAATTTGATTCCCCGTCAGTGCTCGATCCCCAATAGGGGGCATGGAGGAGGCAAGCTGATCAATGATTCCTCTCATTAATGTTTCTTTCTCTCCCTCTCTGAAATCAATAAAAATATATTTTAAAAAATAATGAAAATATCTTTAAAAAAAATTAGCAGGTGAGCCCTGGCCAGTGTGGCTCAGTTGGTTGAGATTGTCTTGTGCATCAATAGGTCGCTGGTTCAATTCTCAGTCAGGGCATTATGCCCCAGTTGTGGATTTGGTCCCCAGTTAGGGTGTGTGTATAGGAGGCAACTGATCATGTTTTTCTCTCACATTGATGTTTCTCTCTCTCTCTCTCTCTCTCTCTCTCTCTCTCTCTCTCCTTTCCTCTCTCTAAAAATAAATTATAAAACAAACAAACAAAAAATAACAGTGGGCACTCTCCTTTCAGGGAGCCCACCTGTGCATCTCTTTCCCCTCTCCTTCCCCCACGGGCCCGTATCTCCTAAACTCCAAGGGACCCACAAGACTTGCAACCAGGGGAGCAATGGACAATGACCACTCACCCCTGCTACCCCCAAACCTATCGTGAAGGCCCCTTTTCTCTGACTTCCCAGTGAGCCAAAGCAGCCCAGCCTAGGCTCTCCTGCTGCTGCTTCTGTGCCCTTCCTTGTCCTAAGTGTGCTTTTGCTGTGGCCAATAAATTCTTGCTTGCTTTTCTAAAAAGAAAAAAAAAAGGGGGATGGGGTATAAATAAATCGTGATGGAAGGAGACTTGACAGGGTGGTGAACACACAAAACAATGTACAGAGAATGTGTTGTAGAAGTGTGCACCTGAAACCTGTAGAACTTTGTTAGCCAATGTCACCCCAATATGTTCAATAAAAAAGAAAAATAAAGAATGTGCGGGGATGTCTTGATCCTTGGGCAGCAGTCCCCGGGAGGCAGGTGGATGGCCTGGGTCCATGGCTGTGTGCTTTGTCCTAGGAGGCTAACGGCCCCGCTGACGGCTATGCTGCCATTGCCCAGGCCGACAGGCTGACACAGGAACCCGAGAGCATCCGCAAATGGAGAGAGGAGCAGAGGAAACGGCTGCAGGAGCTGGGTGAGGGCAGGGCTGAGGCTGGGCTGCTTTGGGACACGGTGGGGGTGGGGAACTTTAAGGTGTATGCACACCCCCTCTAATGTGTGAGAATGGGCCCAGGGGGCCGAGGGGAGAAGCAGCTGGGGCACCTGTGTCCCTCCCGTCCCTACTGGAAAGCTGCCACTCATTCTCCTGTTGGGGTTGCAGATGCTGCCTCCAAAGTGACGGAACAGGAGTGGCGGGAGAAGGCCAAGAAGGACCTGGAGGAATGGAACCAGCGCCAGAGTGAGCAAGTGGAAAAGAACAAGATCAACAACCGGTAACAGATGCTTTAGGGACAGGAGGGGGCTCTGGGGACAGGAGAGGAGCTATAGGGACAATAGGGAGGTATGGGGACATGAGGGAGCTCTGGGGACAGGAGAGGAGCTATAGGGACAATAGGGAGGTATGGGGACATGAGGGAGCTCTGGGGACAGGAGAGGAGCTATAGGGACAATAGGGAGGTATGGGGACATGAGGGGGCTCTGGGGACAGGAGAGGAGCTATAGGGACAATAGGGAGGTATGGGGACATGAGGGGGCTCTGGGGACAGGAGAGGAGCTATAGGGACAATAGGGAGGTATGGGGACATGAGGGAGCTATGGGGACATGAGGGAGCTATGGGGACAGGAGGGGGCTATAGGGACATGAGGGGGCTATGGGGACATGAGGGGGCTATGGGGACATGAGGGAGCTATAGGGACTATAGGGAGCTATGGGGACATGAGGGAGCTATGGGGACAGGAGGGGGCTATGGGGACATAAGGGGGCTATGGGGACATGAGAGAGCTATGGGGACATGAGGGAGCTATGGGGATAGGAGAGGAGCTATAGGGAGAATAGGGAGCTATGGGGACATGAGGGAGCTATGGGGACATGAGGGGGCTATGGGGACATGAGGGAGCTATGGGGACAGGAGGGAGCTATAGGGACAATAGGGAGCTATGGGGACATGAGAGAGCTATGGGGACATGAGAGAGCTATGGGGACATGAGGGAGCTATGGAGACAGGAGGAGGCTATAGGGACATGAGGGGGCTATGGGGACATGAGGGGGCTATGGGGACATAAGAAGAGCTATAGAGACATGAGGGAGCTATAGGGATAATAGGGAGCTATAAGGACATGAGGGGGCTATGGTATTGGAGACCCACTTGAGAATGTGTGATTTGGTGGCAAGAACATGGAGGAAAGAAACTGAATGCCCAGGACTACTTCCTTGGTTGCCTGTGGAGTTCAGAGCCCTGCACTTGGAAGGGCTGATTCACTGTTACGCTCTCACGTCCTCACCACAACAGCGAGAGCAAGTTCTGCAGCCAGCAGACGGTCCCAGGTCCCTGGAATGTGAGCCAGACCGTGCTGGGGCCCAGCGGCGTGGCCTGGACCCTCTGTGCCACGGTTAGTGCCACGGAAAGCACACTCCTGGCTGGGAGCGAAGAGGCAGTCTGGCTACGGGGTTTTGCTTGTAGCGCTTGACCCAGAGTGGCTTCAGCACTAATGGAAATGAGTGGCCTGTAGAACTGAAAGGCCAGGGGTAGGACGGCAGGCACAGCGGGCTTATGGGCTTAAACAAATCAGTTGGCACCATTTTTACTATCTCTAAGCTCTTCTTTCCTCGATGGAGCCTTCACTCTGGGACACATACCTGGGATGGGGGCGAAGGCGGCCACAGCGGCTCCAGGCTTCTGCTCTATCTGCTTGGCAACTTCAATGACAATAAAATAACCTCTTGCTCCCAGTAGCTCCTGCATAAGTCCTTGACCCGACCCTCATTGGTGGGACATGGGCCAGGCCCAGAGGGAGGGACCCAGCTTAAGTAATACTCCATTCCTTGTGTTTGGCATGGGGTCAGACCTACCCAAACCACAGGGACTGACTTGGGGCAACTTGATCCTGCAAAGGACAATCAGGATGTCCTTCCTGGAAGAAGCAGAATGAATCCTGAGCAGCATAGACAGCCGATGCCACCAGCGAACACCTTTGTGGGAATGGTCTCAGAGCATTTCAGAGATGCTGCTCAGCAGTCCAGCCTTTGAGACTCTGGTCTTCAAATCACTAGGCCCACCAGGAAGGGCAAGGCCAATTCTGGGAAGCCGCCACACGTGTGTCCAGGAAGCTGCTGCATGCCAGGCTCTGGGCTGGGTACCGGAAGGCAGATGAGAAGAACCCAGTCTGTGTCCTCTGAGTTCAGAGGAGAGAAACACGTGTCCAGCTGAACTCAACAGGAGGGCCTCTGCAGGAGAAAGCAAGGGATGCTGTGGGGAGGAACTTTTGTATCTGGGGAACTGGGTTTTGGAGGATGAGTAGGAGTTCATCAGGAAAAAGAGGGCAGGGGACAGAATGACAAGAAAGAAAGGACGTTGTGTCTGGGGCAGCAGGGAGGCTGGGAGTGGTGGCAGAGAGGGTACCTGTGTTGGGCAGACATGGGTGGAGAACAGGAGGAGTCATATGATCAGGGCTGGGTTTTAGAAAAGGCACTCGGGTGGGCGGGTGGAGGATCCTGCTCTCCTTTCTGGGCTGTGGCTAGCTGAGCCTCCCAGAGCTGTGCTTCCTAACATCTCTCCAGCTGGAGGTACTAACACTGTCTCTCTTTCTCTTTAACCCTCTGCCTGTCTTGCCATCTCGTCTTCCCTCACCTAACCCCCCCTTTCCCTTAAGGATCGCTGACAAAGCATTCTACCAGCAGCCAGATGCTGATATCATCGGCTACGTGTACGTGTGTCTCCTCTGCTCCTCTGTCTGGGGGAGCTGGCGAGGGCGAGGCCCCTGTGTGTGGCTGGCACAGTCTCTTGAGTCTCCTGCTTGTGGGGTACAAGAGCGCGGCTGGGCGAGGGCAGGGAGAAGGCTGTGACCAGAGCCGGGGTGAATCCCCAATCAGCGCAGCACCCCCACCACTCCGGCAAATGCTTATGGAGGTCTTTTCTGCATGGAGGTGACTTTGCTAAATCCAGGCAGAGAAAGGAAAAGAGTGCACTGGCCATGCCCGGGTGGGAGGGGTGGATGGCAAAGATGTCCAACTCCTTCCCAAAGAGATGCCTGTTATCCAAGTCACGGCACAAAAAAAAAAAAAAAAAAAAAAAAAAAAAGAGATGCCTGCTGGGGGTAAGAGAGGGTGCAGAGGTCTTCTGCTGAACAAAGCAATCATTGAGTGCCGATTTCTGGGGGTACAAAAAGGGAGCTAGGAGCACACCTATCCCCTTCTGCTACCCCCAAGTGCACTGCTCCCTCCGCCTTAGAGCTTCTACCCAAGTTGATACTGTGACTCATCTAGACCAGAGATGGTAGAGGTTCCCTCTCATGTCACCTCAGTTGGTTCACAGCGACACCTAGAGTTGTGTTTGGGGATTGTAAAGCTGAAGGGAAAAACACGGTGATGAGCGTGTGAGATCAGCCAAGTATTGGCTGGTCTGCGTGCCGGCCACACCCTTGCCAGGCCTCTGGCTAACTCTTCTCTCCCGATGCCAGGACACCTCAAGGTGACAGCTTTTTGCTCCTACCTTTCATCCACTCTCCCGGCTGTCCAGTCCTGATAGGTCCTTACCCAGTGCCAATCTCTGGTCAGACAGGAGTGCATGGCAGCAAGAGCTGCGTGGAAGGACACACAACACTCTGAAAGCCACCTTCTGCTGTGGGAGCCAGGGCAGGCCTCAGAGAAGCAGGACCTTCAACTGGACCATAAAGTGGGAGGAGGATTGAAGGGATGGGGAGGGGAAGATTAGGGGAAGGACATCCTAGGTGGAAGAAGTTGCTTGGGCAAAGGTGATGAGATAGGACATACCTAGTGGCCTGGGGGCTGTAGACTGTGGAGTGGGGGCGTGTGGAGAAGGTCATCTCGGGGCTGCTGCAGAAATGCCTGTTGTGCCAGGCCAAGAAGCTTGGACTTGATCCTGAAGGCAGGAGAGTGGGGATGGCAGAGGGACATGGGTGCTGGGGGTAGTTAGTGCTCCTGTTTCACCCAAGAAAATGGCCCAAGGATCATGCAAGGGAGTCCCGGAGAGGGAGAGTGCAGACCAGCGTTTTCCGTATTTCCATGTGCCTGTGAGACACCAGAGGATCTTGTTAAAGTGAGGATTCTAACTCAGTAGGACTGAGAAGAGGCCACGATTCTGCATTCCCCACGAGCTCCATGGTGATGCCCGTGCAGCAAGACCACCCTCCACACTTTGAGCTGCAAGTTTAGCAGAAGGGAGCCTCTTGACCCAAAGGACAGCTGCTAGGAAAGCTTCCCTCAGCCCCCTGCCCAGCAGTCAACACCTTCCCAAGCTTCACACACCTGCCATCTCCTTAGATTCTCAGCCACTCAGATCACTAAGGTGGAGGCTCGGATCCTCACTCTACAGGTTAGGCAATGAGCACGCAGCACACTCAGGATGGAGGGCCAGATCACGCATGGCACAGCCCGTGCGGACCAACCGGAGAGCTCCCGCCACCTGCCAGTGCCTGCTCACGCATGCTTTGGCTCGACAGCCAAACAGGACAAAGACCCAGCCTTTCCACCTAAGAATCCTTTCATGTCTTTCTCTTAATAATGCACAACACGAAACAGTGTTGACTACACTTTTGTCTTTCCATTGTTCCTTCCTCAGTGGCCTTTATACCTGTCAGCTAGACCTTCTAATGAAGAATCCCCAGGTGTCACCCTAACTTGACTCTAGCCAAAAGCAAAGACTTAACTGAATGGAGCCGCCCTCATGCCATGGCCACATAGATATTCTGGGCTAAAAAGAGCTCTGCCATCAAACATGCTGGGCATCTGGTGGATTCTATCGCCATCACTTTCCCACTGATGCACATTTGAGCACATGGAAGGCTTTGAAAGTCTGGCTGTGAAGGTCCCCTTTAGCTGAGTTTTCCGTGGGTGTTTGACCACAGCTCTTTGCTGGAGAGCACACAGGGTCCACAGAACACTGAGGCAATGCTGAGCCAGGCCCTTCAATTAGTTATGTAGTTAATCAACGTCCTTTCTCTGCCAAGTTATTGGAAACATTGAAAATGGCTGAGACACCACCTCAGTTCCTCCACAGCCATTAGGTGCCAGGAGCCCCAGGTGGGGAACTCTTGCTGGAGGGGTAATGACCAGAGAGCGTGACGGTGGGGCAGGGGTGGAGGTACAGGAGGAGGAAACTTTAGGGTGGCAAGAGGAGACCTCTCTAAGGAGGTGAGGCCTGCTCTCAATCCCAAACTAGGTTTCCTTCGATGCCAAGGCTGTTCCTGGGGCCTCAGAGGGCACAGGGTCAGAGGGCACAGGGCAGGGGAGGAGACCTCTGGATAAAGTACCCCAGAGTAGGCTGGGCAGAGCAGCTTTGCTCATTGCGGGGAAAGCATCACTGGTTCGGGGAAAAGGCAGGCAGCTCTGAGACCTTTGTCCTATCTCCACCCGCAGGGCATCTGAGGAGGCTTTCGTGAAGGAATCCAAGGAGGAGACCCCAGGCACAGAGTGGGAGAAAGTGGCCCAGCTGTGTGACTTCAACCCCAAGAGCAGCAAACAGTGCAAAGACGTGTCCCGCCTGCGTTCTGTGCTCATGTCCCTGAAGCAGACACCACTGTCCCGCTAGGTGCCTGCCGCCAGCCTGGCCACAGGGCGTGGGCAGGGGCGGGGCGAGGAGCCGCGGCTTCGGGCAGGAGGGTGCAATGCCTCTGGCAGCTGTTCCACACAGCCTGTTCCCTCCCTCCCCGTCTCCCAGGGCTGGGGCGGGAACACGCGCCCCTCTCACCCCCGTTCCCTCTTGGCCCTGAGTCCCAGCCCCTCACACCGCCTCTTAGTCCACAGAATTGTGACTGTCCCTCTGATGTATTTTTTTCTTGACTTAAAGGGTGTGTTGCTAATTCTTTTTACACTTGTTTTTATTGCCGTTCTCATTTTTCTGGAAGCCACACCTGGGGTCAGGGCCCAGTGTGTGCTTAGAGCTTGCCCAGCGTGGCCTGGGGAGAGGAGGCGCCTCCCCCGGGACCCAGGAGCTCCCAGCTTGCCGTGGGCACCCTAGCTGCCTGGGTCTGCTGCCTCCGACTCCCGGGAAGAAAGACCGCCTCTCCCAGAATGCTTTTGCAGCCTGATCCTTCCTGATCCTTGGACAAGCCTGTGAGATAAGGACTCTGTTCTCACAGCCACAGACCCGAGGCTCCCAGAGGGAAAGGGGTGTGAAGTCAGAGGGAGGCCAGACCCCACACCTTCCTCCTGTTCAGCAAAGGCTGAAAACTGGATACATTCAAAACTTTGGGACCCGCACAGTGTTCTAAAAGAGTTAATTGCCAGCTCTATTAGTTTCCTAGAACTGTCACAACAGAGTCTGACTTCACATAACAGAGACTGTCTCTCTTCGGAGGCCAGGAATCTGACTCAGCGTCAGCAGGGCCACGGGCCCTCCGACAGCACGATGTGTTTCAGCATTTCTTCCGGCTTCTCTGCCTCGGGTGCTCCTTGGCCTGTAGATGCACCAGGATAATCCCAGGTCCATCTGCACGTGGCCCGTCCTCCGTCTTTGTCCACACTTCCCCTTTTTATAAGGACACCAGTCATATGGATTAGGCCCCCCCTTAGCCTCATTTGAATTTGATTACCCCTGTAAAGACCCTATTTCCAAATAAGGACACACGTGAAGTGCTGGGGTTAGGACTTCAGTGTATCTTTTTTGAGAAATTAGTTATTTATTTATTTTTTGGTTAATCCTCACCGAGGATATTGTTCAATTGATTTTTAGAAAGTGGGAGGGAGAGAAACAGATACATCGAAGTGAGAGAAGCACATCAATTGGTACTTCTCACACACACATATCCCGGCAGGGATGAGCCTGCAACCAAGGTACAAGCCCTTGACCCTCCAGTCCACAAGCTGATATTCTATCCACTGAGCCAAACCACTAGGGCTCAATATATTTTTTTGGAGAGATACAATAATGCCTGCCGTTACAAAAAAAAAAAAAAAGTGACCATCCCCTTAGGAGTTCCATCTTCCTCATCAATCTATGTCTGTTCCTTGGACCTTGAAGCCCAGGGACACCACATGGGCTGAGAGGCCATTGTGGGGCAAGCGGATTAGCTGGCCCTGGTCACTCGCGTCCGATTAGAAATCAAGGCTGAGCTGGGGCTCGAGAAATGGCTGTCTTCCTTTTCCCTATCTGGCAGCCTGCAGCTGGTGCTGAAGCTGATGGAGCACACGAAAGAAACCCGGGTCAGAGTGCACACGTCAGAGCTGACCACAGACAGGAGCACCGGCGTGAGGTGCACGTGAAAGCAGGAGTCAGGGCGCTGCCTCTCTTCTCTTTGCTCCGGGCCCAGAGCTCCCTTCCTCCTTAACTCGGGCACTGGCACATGCAGGCGGGGTCATAGCAACGACCACAGGCTCCAGCTTCCTTCCCACCACGCCAGGCTGCTCTCCGCAGCTTCCTGCTCTGTTAGATGCTGCAGGCACCTCGCCAGGGGGTCTAGGTGAGCGGAGTCCCAGGGGCTCTCAGGGGTGGGAGTGGGCGAGGAGCAGGAGCAGCGGAGGGCCGAAGCCCCTGCCCCTGCCAGCACCATAAAAAGTCTCATCAGAGGGCAGGATTTTTTTTAATTTTTATTATTTTTTAAAAATATATTTTTATTGATTTTTTACAGAGAGGAAGAGAGAGGGATAGAGTTAGAAACATCGATGAGAGAATCATCGATCAGCTGCCTCTTGCACACCCCCTACTGGGGATGTGCCCGCAATCAAGGTACATGCCCTTGACTGGAATCGAACCCGGGGCCTTTCAGTCCAAAGACCCACGCTCTATCCACTGAGCCAAACCGGTTTCAGCTATTTTTTTAATTTTTAATTTAATATATTTTTATTGATTTCAAAGAGGAAGGGAGAGGGAGAGAGCGATAGAAACATCAATGATGAGAGCCATTGATCGGCTACCTCCTGCACACTCCACACTGGGGATTGAGCCCGCAACCTGGTTATGTGCCCTCACCAGGAATCAAACCATGACCTCCTGGGTCAAAGGTTGACTCAGCCTAACCATTGAGCCACACCAGCCGAGCTGGCTCTTTTCTTTTTGAGTAGGTCCTGGTGACTGAGCTCCACAGGTACCCACGGAGGGCAGGATTTTCTACCGAAAAGTTGGGAAATTGGTGGAAAGATTCCCCATCCCCTCTCCTCCAAATATTACCACTTTCCGGAATCTCTACTTTTCTAAGGACCGCTGCAGTCTGTCGTGTTTTTTTTTTTTTTCCCTCCTAAAAATTTTGAGGGTGAGATTGAGAATGAATTTGTAAAACTACAAGGGAATTAGAGTTTATTAAGTAGGAAGTGGAGAAAGAGCGGCAGAAACAGAAGGATGCAATACCCAAACCGAACCGAACCAGAGAGTCCAGCACCAAACATCAATTGGCCGCTTCCTCCCCACGGACGCGGGGGCCGGTGGGGGAGAAGAGGGAATGAGTTCGGCGGCAGGTCCGTTGGCTGCTCCTGCGGCTGGGAATGATCTCCGCGGGGCTCTCCGGGCTCAGGGTCCAGACTTAGACTTCAGCGCCGACATCGCCAGGCCCACCAGGATGGCTGCCACCGTGAAGCCCTGGGCGGCGATCCGGGTGCGCATCATGAGCTGGGAGCGCTGGCTCTGCCCCCGGTGGAAGCAGTAGAGGCCGTAGGTGAGGGCGGCCGCCGTGCCCAGGCAGCCTGAGGAGGGTACAGAGCAGGTGGGGGTGGCAGGCCCGGCCCCAGCGGCCCCTCCCCGCTTGGGACTTTCTTTCCCCTGAGTTGAGGTCTCAGAACCAGAGCCGGTGGGGTGGGGGGTGAGGGATGGGGGTAGGAGGAAGGGGAGAGGCTGGAGGGGTTGGTCCCAGCAGAGTCCCCGAAGTTACAGAGTCCGCCCTCTCGACTCCCGCCCGGCTCCAGCGCCAATCAGGTTCATCATCGCCCGGCCTTTCCGCCACCTCTCCGGTCCCTTCTCATTCCGGTGTCCCCGGACCTTCACTATTTCATTTCCCCCGAGAGCTCCGTCCTCTCCATCTTTAGTTCCTACTGTGCCCGCTTACCTATGGGGACCATTGGGTTCTCGCGAGTCTTGCGAATGAACTTTTCCTTGAAGCCTTCCGGATTGCTAAAGACACTGGGACTAAAACCCTCAATAACGGGGGGCTGCGATGGTTCAAAGGGTGCCTGCGGAGTCATGGGGCCAGGATTCGCCATGTCTGGGGTAACCGCAGCAGGAGAAAATGGGGACACTAAACTCCGCCTCCTGATGAAGTCATGAAAGGGGGCGGAGAAAAGGACTTTCCTGAGCGTTGTACGCAGGCGTACCCGCTCATTGCATTCTGGGAGTCGTAGTACTCAGCATGGCATCGCTCTCGGGGAGGACTACATTTCCCAGAAAGCCCGCGAAGTCCTGCGCGTGCCCGCTGGAAGGAGTCCGCTACGCGAGGTGCTGGAAGCGAAGGCGCGGAGTCTGAGTTGCAGGCACAGTGGTTAGCGGGATGCTCCAAGGCGGAGAGGAAGACCCGAAGGCAGAAGTTCGGTTACAATGGTAACCGGAGCGTCTTAACCGGAATGCTAGACGGATGGCAGCGCCTCGGATCGGGTGGTGAGGCAGCCGGGTTTTAGGAAACGGGGCCTGCCCTTGACCCAGACTTCCTGGACCGGAGAACTGGAGCCTGGATTTATGGCAAGGAGGGGTATGTTACTACAGATGGAACCCCATGGAATCAAAAACGTCTTCCTCCCTCTCTTTTCCCACTCCCTCCTCTCTTCTTCCCCCTCCATCCCTCTCTTCTTCGCCTCCATCCCTCTTCTACGCTTCCCTCCTCTTTTTTTTTTTTTAAATATATTTTTATTGATTTTGTACAGAGAGGAAGGGAGAGAGATAGAGAGTTAGAAACATGGATGAGAGAGAGTCATCGATCAGCTGCCTCTTGCGGCGTCTTGCACACCCCCTACTGGGGATATGCCCAACCAAGGTATGTGTCCTTGACCGGAATCGAACCTGGGACCCTTCAGTCCCCAAGCCGAAGCTCTATCCACTGAGCCAAACCGGTCTCGGCTCCCTCCTCTTTTAAAAAAAAATATATATTTTATTGATTTTTTTTTTACAGAGAGGAGGAGAGAGGAATAGAGAGCTAGAAATGTCGATGAGAGAGAAACATCGACCAGCTGCCTCTTGCACACTGTTAGACTGGACCCCAGTTAAAACCTCCCCCTGCCTTAGCCTAAGGCCTGAGGTCTTCAGTTCCCGGAATCTCATCGCAGAATGTTTTTTTAGCCCTGAGCTTTGTTTAGCTTAAGCTGCTTGACTGATATTGTGATGTGGGGGAGTATGTCCTGTTATCTTCTCGGGCCCACATTGCCTGGGAGGATGGCAGGAACAAGATATACTCCCTTACATAGCTTGCTTAATCTGTAACCTAATCTTGCAAAAACATATGGTGCTTTGTGTAAAGTGGTAAAATTCCTGTAACTGCCTACGTGTGGTTTTTGCCTTTAAAAGCTGTACCCTTCCCCTTGCTCGGGGCTCCAGCTAGCACTCACCCCTTGGTGACTGCAGGCTGTGAGACCGAGCGCTCGAATAAAGCCTCTTGCGTTTGCATCAATTTGGTCTCCTGGTTCTCTCTCGGGGTCGCCACCGGTCAGGACCAGAGACCGAGGGGGTCTTTGGCTCAACACACACCTCCTACCGGGGATGTGCCCGCAACTAAGGTACATGCCCTTGAGTGGAATTGAACCTGGGACTTTTCAGTCCGAAGACCTACGCTCTTCCACTGAGCCAAACCGATTTCAGCGCTTCCCTTTTTTCTTACTCCCTCTCTGGGGAAAGGAGGCTTCAATTTGTGTTATTCTGGGGCTCTAGGAAAAGCAAGAAACTGCTGGTTTCAGAGTGGGTGGTTTGTTTGAATATATTGTATATATAATAAAACAAAGGTATTTTACTTCTCTGATGGTTTTGTATTTTCCCCTCCCAAGCAGAGGGTGGGGGTGGGGGTGGGCACTGGGCATTTTCTTAGTCTTGATAGTTTGCCCTCAGCTAAACAAAAATCCTCTTATTCCTGTTTTATTTCTAGAAGTCACTGCTGTTGGAAAAAGGAGCTTAGTGTTCTTAGTGATCCTTTCACATAAAACCCAAAGAGGTCTGTAGTTTTATCTTCATCTTAAGATAAGAACAGCCTTGAGAAATGTTAATGGGGGGTAAGTCTTTCCGACAAGTAAGCCTAGGCTTTCACTTAATGTCCGTCCCTTTGGTTTCTGAAGGCAGCTCATCCATTCCACACCATCAGGACTTTAGGCTGGAAACTAGTCTGTCCCAGAAAGCCCTCCCTCCCCTATTGGACTCTCCCTGCTTAGACTTCGGCACTGCCTGGCCCTTATGCACTGCCAGCACAGCCTTCAGGATGTAGTCCTGAGGGAGGGCCTTTGCTTTTGGCCTTGTAATTTTTATCCTTCATAGCATCCCAAATTCAGGCCTTTGAGTAGGCTGTCCCCTTACCTTGTTGATTTACTCAGTTCAGATGCCAGTTTTAGGAAGCTTTCCTTACCACTATTTCCTGTTCCCAGGCAGTGGAAGGGTCTTGTAGTTCCAATGCCCCAGACTTCCTGTTAACAATCCTATTACAGCCATAACTGCCTTTTAATCTGTTTGACATCTCCTGATGTGGGGATTGAGAAAATGAAAGAGACAGGTATGAGTGCAGGGACCTTGCCTAGAAATCCTGAGCCTGGCCCAAGGCAGGTGCTGGAGGAATGAGTGTAGAATGACTGACTGCGTGGCCTTTTGGGCACACAGAGTTCTAAGATTAAAATTTTTTTTTTAAATATATATTTTATTGTTTTTTTTTGTTTTTTTTTTTTACAGAGAAGAAGGGAAAGGGATAGAGAGTTAGAAACATCAATGAGAAACATTGATCAGCTGCCTCCTGCACACCCCCTACTGGGGATGTGCCCGCAACCAAGGTACATGCCCTTGACTGGAATTGAACCTGGGGCCTTTCAGTCCACAGGCTGACACTCTATCCACTGAGCCAAACTGGTCAGGGCTCTGAGATTTTTATTGGCACCTCTTTGCGAAGGACCTGAAGGCTGTGTCTGATTGACTTCAGTCCCTCACTAGTCCTTACAAATGGTTCCACTGCATCAGCACAAGCTGGTTTTGTTGGTTTAATTGCAACCAAAAGCGAAGACTCGTTAGAGCAATCCCAAGGCTGTGGCTCCATAGAATATAACAGTCATCATGGGCCAAAAGAGTCCTGCCATCAAATATGCTGGGGATATGGTGGATTCTTTCATCACCACCTTTCCACTGGTGCACATTAGCATATGGAAGTTTTTGAAAGTTGTAAATATTTCTCTCTTTTCTGTGGCCAGTACGGCTAGAGAGCGGTCTGGTTCCTGAGTAGGGACTTCTGGGGATTGAGAAAATGAAAGAAAGAGACAGACACAGAGATAGAAGGGAAGAGTTGGGGCTGGGTGGGAAAGCTGTCCTCAGATGGAGAGACAGTGACCCAGAGCCTATTCAGCTCATTTATTTTTACAGCAGAATACCAGGAAGTTTTATGAAAGCCTAAGACAAAGGAGATTATGAGCATTCTTGTGGCTTCTTTGTAATTATCACTTCTGGGTGGGCCTGGATAATCGGATAATCGTGTTTGTTCCTGGTGCTTGGCTGGATTTAGATAATGAAACCCACCTCCTGGCGCCTGAGCTGAGGTCAGGCTGACAACACACATGCCTCTGGCAAGGTGTATTTCCAGGAAGTTGCTTGACACTGGACTCAGCTGAACAATACTTAAAGAAATGCTCTTGTGCCTTCCCAGGCGCGCTCTCTACAGAAAGACTGGCTTTGAAGATCCCTTTCAACTGAGTTTTCTGAGTGTTTCACCACAATCCTTTTCTGGAGAACACACAACGTTCACAGAACATTGAGGCAACTTCAGTTATATTGTTAGTAATTGCTGAGATACCACATTCATTCCTCCACGGCCAGTAGGTGCCAGGAGCTCCAGGTGGGCACCTTTTGATGGAAAGGTAATGATCAGAGAGCGCGAGGGTGGGGCAGGGGTGGAGGTACAGGAGAAAACTTTAGGGTGGCAAGGGAAGACCTCTCTGAGGAGGCGAGGCCTGCACTCAGTCCTAAATGACGAGAAACAATAAGCCATGAGCAACAGGTCTGGGGGAAGAGCATTACTGGAAGAGGTGACAAATGAAGAGTCCCTAAGGCAGAGCCAAGCCAGGCTTCCTCCTATGCCAAGGTTATTCCTGGGGCCCCAGGTCAGAGGGCACAGGGCTGGGTACCTCTGGATAAAGTACCCCAGAGTGGGCTGACAAAGCAGCCTTTCTCAGTGGCAGCAGAGCATCACTAGTTCAGGGGAAAGGCAGGCAGCTCTGAGACCTGTTCTGCCTCCACCTTCAGCGCATCTGAGAAGGAAACCCAGCCACCGAGCGGGGGAAAGTGGCCCAGCTGTGTGACTTCAACCCCAAGAGCAGCAAACGGTGCAAAGACATGTCCCGCCTGCCTTCTGTGTTCATGTCTCTGAGGCAGACACCATGGTCCTTCTAGGACCTAGAGGTGACCAGATGTCCCGCTTTTGGTGGGACAGCCCTGATTTTTAACAATTTGTCCCGCGTTCTGAGGCGTTTTAAAAAAGTCCTGATTTTTGGAAAGAAAACGCTGCGGGACGCGGGACGAATTGTTAAAAATCAGGACGTCTGGCCGAAACCGGTTTGGCTCAATGGATAGAGCATCGGCTTGGGGACTGAAGGGTCCCGGGTTTGATTCCGGTCAAGGGCATGTACCTTGGTTGCGGGCATATCCCCAGTGGGGGGTGTGCAAGAGGCAGCTGATCAATGACTCTCATCGATGTTTCTGACTCTCTGTCTCTCTCCCTTCCTATCTGAACAAAATCAATAAAATATATTAAAAAAAAAAAAATTGGGACGTCTGGTCACCTTACTCTAGGTGCCTGCCACCAGCATGGCCACAGAGCATGGGCAGGGTCAGGAGAGGAGGGGCAGCTGCTTCGGGCAGGAGAGTGGAAAGTAGTTAGTTACCTACAAGTAAGTATCCGTAAGACTCGGCTGATTTCTCAACACTAACTTTGCAAGCCAAAATGGAGTGGCAAGAAGTATTCCAGTGGCTTTTTGCTGCTGTGGCAACAGCCATGGGTATGATCAGGCTTCAAGAGGCTTGTCTCCAGTGTCCTCTGCTG